GCGGGCGTCGATCGGGCCGTGGGGCTCGGTCGGGGCGGCCCTGGTGGCTGCCGTGTGTACAGCTTGGCTGTGCGCACTAGCACGTCTAAAAAAAAACACACGCGCGCACACACACGCGCACACGCACGCACAACCACACGCGCACACGCACACACGCATGCACGCACGCGCACATTCAGACGCACACGCACGCGCACACACGCAAACGCAACCGCAACCGCACACGCGCGCGCACGCGCAACCGCACGCGCACACGCACGCGCACGCGCAATCGCACACGCACGCGCAGACGCACACGCACACGAACACGAACACGCATACGCACATGTACACGCGCACGCACGAATACGCACACGCAGACGCCAACGCACCCGCTTCCGCGCCCGCGCCCGCACGCGCGCGCGCACGAGCACGCGCACGCGCACGCGCACGCGCGCACACATGCACGCGCACACACGCACACACGGACGCACACACACACACACACACGCACACGCACACATGCATACACGCGCGCACGCAAACACGCACACACGCACACGCACACACGCCCACACGCACACAACACCACACGCACACACGCACACACGCACGCAGACGCACACAATCACACACGCACGCGCGCACACACGCACACACGCACAATCGCACGCACGCGCGCACGCACACGCGAACGCACGCACAGACACACACACACACACTAACGCGCACACGCGCACACACACCACGCACACACACGCGTTCACGCACACACGCGCACACACGCACACACGCACGCACGCAAACACGCAATTACGCGCGCGCACACACACAAACACACGCACACACGCACACACGCACACACACACGCGCGCACACACACGCGCACACGCACACACACGCGCGCACGCACACACACACACCACACACACACACACCACACGCACACACCACACACACATCACACACGCACACACACAGTTGTCAGGTGGCGGCGCAGAGGGGTTTCAGGCGCGGCCGGCAGGCGGAGGTGCCAATACACACACACGCACACAGGCAGACACAGACACAGAAGCAGGCAATGACACATACACAGGTTCTGCCACGGACACGTACACAGACGCAGACACGGGCACACATGCAGACACAGCACAGGCTCAGGCACAGACATACGTACATACGTATTAAGTCCAGACGTGTGCATATACATCCTTACGTACATACATACGAGTACCACACGCAAGCACGCACACATGCACACCCGCACACACGCACACACGCCCACGCCTACGCACACTCACGCGCAGACACACACGCACACGCACACGCACACGTACGCACGCCCGCCCGCCCGCCCGCCCGCGCACGCACGCACGCACGCACACGCACACACCGCACACGCCCCCCCCACCCAGCCACACACACACACGCACACACACAACATGCACACACGCACACGCACAAACACGCACACACACACACACCCGTTCACACACTCAAACACACGTACACACACGAAGCACACACCACATTCAACGAGTCGTTCGAAAAAATCGTTTCTCCTCCCTTCCCCCCGTTCCTACACCCTTCCCCGTGTCTGATCGGTCCCTTCCTCCCTTTTTCTTCCTTTCCCTCCTTCCTTCCCGCTTCCCTCCTTTGTCAAAAGTAAGGCTCGGAGCTTGACCGCGTCGTCGGTTTTTGTACTCGTGTCATATATCCTGGCATCGTTTTGCATGATGAAGTGGTCGTTATCCGTGGTGTGACCAAGCATGCGAACGCCTGGTACCAATGCTGCAAAGCTATGTTTTTTAGCACCCCTTGTTCGAGTACCCACGAGATCGTGGTCACCCCACGCCCTAGGAAGAGCGGCCGTGGCTGAATAATGATGGAGCAGAGGCCCAAGCGGTGCGACGTGAGATCCTCCTCCGTGTAGGCGAAGTGTACGACGAGCAGTTTGATTATTTGCGCAGCGCCTGTGAGGACGAGTGCAGCACAGCACGTACGATTGGGACCGGAGCTTATTCCTTGATCGTCTTAGGGCTGTGGCGTAACATATTTTGATCGGCCGAATTTGCCGCATATGCTGCGTTGTTGACAAACGGCTACGGCTGTAAATGGCGCCGTGGGGAAGCTCTTGATACATTCGCTGCGCATTCGGTTTGGGAGCGTGACAATCCTGCAGTGCCCCTCCACCGAGCTAGGGATGACGTGCCCTCCGTCTTCCTGGGCGCGGTGCCCTTCGTGGGTGGCGTAGTTTTTGGCTCCGCGTGCTCTCTCCTCGGAAGGCTCGGCAACCAGTACGCGTGTTTGGGGGGAGTATAGCTCGCTTGCTCCACACAGACGAACTTCCGACGGTTCCGTCGCACCAGAAACCCGCCGCTCTGGGTGTTCTTTGGGTTTCTCTTCTTGCAGGGGTAACATTTGCAAATGCAGCGCGGCGAGCCCTGCCCTCCCTCAAGGGCCCCCACGTCGCACTTGTGGTCGTTCGCACCCTCCCCCGCAACAGAAAAAAATCAACTCCTCCTCTTCCTCGTCCCCCCCCCCTCCTCCCTTTTCCTCTTCCTCCTCCTCCTCTTCCTCCTCATCCTCCTCCTCTTCCTCCCCTCCTCCCCCTCCCCTCCTCCCCTCCTCCACTTCCGTCCTCCTCTCCTCCCCTCCTTCCTCTCTCCCCTCCTCTTCTCCCCTTCTCCCCTCCTCCCCTCCTCCTCCTCCGCTCCTCCCCTCCCCTCCTCCCTCCTCCCCTCCTCCCCTCCCTCCTTCCCTCCCTCCTCTCCTCGACAATTACACAATATGAAAATACTCTCCCACTTCCCCTGATGGCGTCCGGAAGATATTCGGCACCCCCCCGCGTACTGTTTTTTTACACACAGGATTCCCCGGAGTTGGGTTTTCGCTTGCGTTTTTTTCTAAAATGCTGCTCTCGCTGAGGCGCCGGCCTCATTTCTGCTCCCGAATCGTTCCGAATCGTGCTCCCGCTGCAGCGTGGGCCTCATTTTCGGATCGGTGTTTGGCCTCCGTCGTTCAGGATGGCGTTCTCGCCCCAGCGCGGGCCTCTTTCTCGCGCGCCCATCCGCCCGCCACCACCGCGCCGCACCACCACCACCACCACCACCACCACCACCACCACCACCACCACCACCACCACCACCACCACCACCAGCCACCACAACCACGCACACACGCACGCACGCACGCACGCGCACCACCACCACACTACGCACGCGCGCGCGGAGCCACAGGTCCGCTACGACACGCGTCCGCGGATAGAGAAAATCAGCGCCATGGTAAGGGATGGGAGGGTGGGGTAGGACGTCAGATATGACGCGAGCGCACCTAGCTTGTTCCCCCCCCCCTCCCTCCCCTCCCCTCCGCCCCCCCCCCCTTAGCCGTGGCCGCAGGGGCTGGCTAAGTCCTTCGGCGCCTACCTGCCGGCCGGGGTCGGTGGCGCGCAGGAGCCTCCGCGGGCGATCCCCGGCGCTTCGCGCGAGCGTGCCTCCCCGACGACGTCGACGACCGCGACGACGTCGACGCCGACGACGACGACGACGATCCCGACCACGGCCACGACGACGACGACGACGGCGACGACGTCGACGCCGAACACCCCGACCGCCTCGACGACGACCACGACGACGACGACGACAACGACGATGACGTGTCGGACACTTCGGAGGAGGAAGAGGCAGAGGAGGAGGAGGAGGAGGACGAGGACGAGGACGAGGAGGAGGAGCGGGAGGAGAGGGAGGAGGAGGAGGAGGACCATGCTGAGTAGGATAATGACTATGGGGGGGACAACGAAAAGGACGGGGAGGCGGGCAATGAGGAAGAGGAGAGGCTTCGAGGAGGACGACGAAGATGAGGCAGAGGAGGAGGCGGAGGAGACGAGGAGGAGGAGAGAAGGAGGAGGAGCAGATTGAGGATATGTTGGAGGAGATGAGGATGATCGAGGAGCAAGCCATACATGAGGAGAAGGGCGAGGAGGAGGAGGGGAGGGAGGAGGAGCGAGGCTCGAGGATTATGGCTTTCTGACATAACCATTCGCTGTTCGGCCCTTTCGTGAGCTCTGGGCGCATCTGGAAGGCCTCTGGGGAACTTCAGAGACTTCTTGCGACCGAAAGAGGAGGAGGAGGAGGCGGAGCAGCAGGATGAGCAGGGGGCGGAAGAGTCAGTGGATGCCAAGCGGCATGTGCTGCGATCGCACCCATCCGTCCCAGTCGTCCAGTGACTTCTTCGACACCAGCACCGCCGCCACCCTCGCCGTCGACCTCAACACCATCGTCGGGCGCCTCCTCGCCTTTTCGGCTCGGCGCCAGGCCTCAGGCGCCGCGTCAGCCCCTGCCTCCCTGCGGAGGCGGGCAGGGGCCACTCGCGCCGAGGCCCCCGCCAAACTGGCAGCGCGGTCTTTACACCCTGCCCTCCAGGCCGCCCCGAGGGGGCCAGAGCAGACGCAGGCCTCCCACGGGCAGCGAGTGTCAGGGCGGAGCTCTCCGGCGGCGGGTCGGACAGGACGCGGGAGTGAGAGCCGGCCCTGGGAAGCGGGTCGGGGTTTCTCTTGGTGACCCCTCCTCCTCCTCCGGGGGCGGGTCGGACGGGACTCGGGAGGGAGAGCCGGCCCTGGGGAGCTCCTCCTCCTCCTCCTCCTCCTCCTCCTCCCTTCCTCGTCCTCCTCCTCCTCCTCCTCCTCCTCCTCCTGGGTCGGGGTTTCTCTTGGTGACCCCGCGGTGAGAGGATGTCAGGGCCCGGGATGTCTGGGGACGTGGCCGGAGGATGCGCGCAGCATCGCCGATGCCTCACCTCAAGCAGTGGCGAAGCGTCCTGGCTCGCCTATGGCCCTGCCAAACAATGTTCCAAGAACCGTTTTTGTGGTTTCCACGACATGTTCTTAGAACATGTCTCGCGGAGTCTGCCTTGTTTTATCATATCGGGCGTATGTCCTCAGAACATTGTTTTTGTTATCAGAACATTTCTGGGTTCTAAGAGCATTTCGTGGCAGGATTATAGACTATAAGGAATGCCGGGAG